GGCCCGCGCGGGAGCTCCGCTATGAACAAATGGCTGTTTCTTATTCTTGATTTTCACTGATCACGTGATATTCTAAAAATGCTATTTAGAGGCACAATTAGCGGAATATTATTATTGTTCTCAAGAGAATATCTAAATTAAAGGATCACTACGAAATTTTGAGCCAAAATGATGCTTTTTAACAGAAATATGAGCGATGGAAAATTGGTAAGAATGTATGGGATTATCACGGCTCAATGCTTGTTAGACTGGTCAAGAAATACCTACAAAAATCTTTGTTTTAAGATCGAAATGAATATTTTATATCCAATGCCAAAAACAGCATATAATTCCCAACAGCTATGCAAAGTTTGAACCCAAACTGCGATTTTGTAGCAAAAAKAAAAGCGTTTGAATACGGTCTTACTTTACAAGAGAATGTAGGGAAACGCCATGACAGTGTACTAATCCTGTACACGAACATGGCGGACAGTAACTTTGAGCTTCGAATTGAGGTAAAAACTAATGATTTTGCTTTAGGTTTACAACAATAACATTTTAAACATTTAATTTAATGCTCAGGCTAAACTTGCTTTAAAATTAATAGGCTTTCCGAGGTTTATTTGGCGCGTTTCAAGTCGCTTGACAGTATTGCGTGACATATTTTTGAACGTAAATAACTCAACGAATAAACAGCAAAAAAAGTTTAAACCTTCGAAGAGAACTTCTATCATGCTCTTCAAGGTATTTTAGTACTGCAATGTTGTGTTTCTGTGATTTTAGAATTTTTTTTCGACTGATGACGTCATGTGCAAACCGAGAATTGGTTGATAATGACATACTTCCGCTCTAGATGTTTTTAGGTGTATACTTGACTTAGTATCTTCACCATTAGATTATTCTTATTCATTGGGTATAATTATTAGTCCTCAGTGGAGCATATTCATGTGACAAGTCGGTGTTTTAACAAGTATAAAGCTGAAATGTCTCTTGTAACTCATTGGGTTATATGTCAGAAAAAGTTTTATACTACACGTGCTTWGGATAAGCACATCTTAACTACACATGGAGAAGCGCTGACTAAATATAGCTTTTGTGAAGCCCTGAACAATAATCCTGTTCCTTTGCCTGCAGTAGAAAAACTTAACACTCAAATCWACGATAATTATCTTGCTTGGCTGGCTTGTGTTACTGAACGAGTGAATAKTACTCATCACCCTAAATGTGAAGGTAATTACAGCAATAATGTAACATTTAGATAATATCTATTCTACATTATTGGTTYATAAGTCATTAAACATCAGACATGTATTTTTAGCTGGAATTCGTTCTTGTACTGTCAGACTTTACATTACGTAGCCAGCAGTATTTATGTAAGCTGGGCAATACCGTATTTACTCGAATAGAAGCTGCCCTCAAACGCCTACTGCTCCTTTCCTGAAGTCATTRGAGGTGACAGATTTTTCCATTTTGGCTTTTCGCCATACTGACTTTAAGCACTTTGAAACTTGATTCGACTGCATTCCCTTTCCATTCCATGAAAGMAAAAACCTGTCACATTTCTCCGCTGGTTGAAAGACTTTGGGTCTCACTTCTTGCAGGTAAATCTTAAGCCAGCTGTGGAGGGTCATACTAAGAACAAGGTTGGCAGGGCCATTGCAATGTGCGGTCTTGTGATCCATAACCTACCATTAAGGATAGTAACTTCTCGTCAATTTATTGCAAGGGTGTGATTTATGTGGGCGMGCTTAATCCATGAAACGGATARTACTAAGTACTTCTAAATAGTAGAGCAAACGCAGGAAAAGCATGAAATACAATCAAAAAACAAATAGCGGCTATTTAGAGACAATTTGTCAGTATCAATGAACCAGAACACAATGAAGATGAATCCACATGGGACCATTTTTAATTTATCTTTATTGTGTTTTGGTTCATTGATACTGACAAATTGTCTCTAAATAGGCGCTTTCTGTTAGTATTTAGTTTGATTTTATTTCATGTTTTTCCTGTGTTTGCTCTGTTAATGGGAGGAATGGAAACAGAGAATAATTATAGTTAGCTTGTACTTTGTCCTGATTGACGCATTAAAACCTTAAAAGGTTCAAGGATTATGCGTGTCAACTTAAATGATAATTTGATAATTATAACTATAACTGTTTATAGGGATAGCAACTTACTGTATGTAACTATAGTAAACGTATACGACAGTAATATTAAAGGGATATGAGATTGACAATTGTAAATGACAAATACATGATTGGTGATACGCATTTCATCTTGTTGTGTTGATGCTYTAACGCATTAGAGATTTTTTCCAACACAGCAAGGTGAAATTCTCTCTTATTTTCAGTGGTTACCTCAACAACATAGCTACCATCAACTACTTCAGCTTTTTCAAATTCCTGGATKGTCATATTTACAACTTCTCCAGCTCGAGGGCCATTATCGATTTCTAGCTCAGCAAAAAGAAAATTCCTGACGAGGGTATAGTCCCTTTGTGTGATTTGGATGGTGTGAGCTCCATTGAGAAGTCCCAGTAGCTTGATGGCGTCCCTTGCTGCTTCACTTCGTTCAAATTCGTTTACAACTTTAGGACTTATCAATCTTTCTTTATCTTTATTCTTCTTCTCCCATTCGCTCCTGTTACAGGCCTTCTTATAAGACTTTCCCCATCTTATAAGTCGCTCTCTAAGATTTACGACCTCTGACGTCTTGAATTTTACACGGGCTGGTTCATCGGACACGAGGTATGTATAAAAGTGGCGCACACTCATGATATAAGACCAGAAGTACATAACCAGAAGTGTCCATCTCCCCAATAATATCGACACCATCAGATGTCCCGATAATCTCTTTTTAGACAACCAATCACAACGCGCGCACATATTACACGGCACCTGATTGGTCCTTGTTGATCTAAATTTACAGCTTTTCCATCTCACGTTAAAAGTCGAAAATTACTTTACCTTTGTTTAAGTCCAGCTTTATTTGACTGTAAGGAAGCTATTTTACANTACTGAACGAGTGAATAKTACTCATCACCCTAAATGTGAAGGTAATTACAGCAATAATGTAACATTTAGATAATATCTATTCTACATTATTGGTTYATAAGTCATTAAACATCAGACATGTATTTTTAGCTGGAATTCGTTCTTGTACTGTCAGACTTTACATTACGTAGCCAGCAGTATTTATGTAAGCTGGGCAATACCGTATTTACTCGAATAGAAGCTGCCCTCAAACGCCTACTGCTCCTTTCCTGAAGTCATTRGAGGTGACAGATTTTTCCATTTTGGCTTTTCGCCATACTGACTTTAAGCACTTTGAAACTTGATTCGACTGCATTCCCTTTCCATTCCATGAAAGMAAAAACCTGTCACATTTCTCCGCTGGTTGAAAGACTTTGGGTCTCACTTCTTGCAGGTAAATCTTAAGCCAGCTGTGGAGGGTCATACTAAGAACAAGGTTGGCAGGGCCATTGCAATGTGCGGTCTTGTGATCCATAACCTACCATTAAGGATAGTAACTTCTCGTCAATTTATTGCAAGGGTGTGATTTATGTGGGCGMGCTTAATCCATGAAACGGATARTACTAAGTACTTCTAAATAGTAGAGCAAACGCAGGAAAAGCATGAAATACAATCAAAAAACAAATAGCGGCTATTTAGAGACAATTTGTCAGTATCAATGAACCAGAACACAATGAAGATGAATCCACATGGGACCATTTTTAATTTATCTTTATTGTGTTTTGGTTCATTGATACTGACAAATTGTCTCTAAATAGGCGCTTTCTGTTAGTATTTAGTTTGATTTTATTTCATGTTTTTCCTGTGTTTGCTCTGTTAATGGGAGGAATGGAAACAGAGAATAATTATAGTTAGCTTGTACTTTGTCCTGATTGACGCATTAAAACCTTAAAAGGTTCAAGGATTATGCGTGTCAACTTAAATGATAATTTGATAATTATAACTATAACTGTTTATAGGGATAGCAACTTACTGTATGTAACTATAGTAAACGTATACGACAGTAATATTAAAGGGATATGAGATTGACAATTGTAAATGACAAATACATGATTGGTGATACGCATTTCATCTTGTTGTGTTGATGCTYTAACGCATTAGAGATTTTTTCCAACACAGCAAGGTGAAATTCTCTCTTATTTTCAGTGGTTACCTCAACAACATAGCTACCATCAACTACTTCAGCTTTTTCAAATTCCTGGATKGTCATATTTACAACTTCTCCAGCTCGAGGGCCATTATCGATTTCTAGCTCAGCAAAAAGAAAATTCCTGACGAGGGTATAGTCCCTTTGTGTGATTTGGATGGTGTGAGCTCCATTGAGAAGTCCCAGTAGCTTGATGGCGTCCCTTGCTGCTTCACTTCGTTCAAATTCGTTTACAACTTTAGGACTTATCAATCTTTCTTTATCTTTATTCTTCTTCTCCCATTCGCTCCTGTTACAGGCCTTCTTATAAGACTTTCCCCATCTTATAAGTCGCTCTCTAAGATTTACGACCTCTGACGTCTTGAATTTTACACGGGCTGGTTCATCGGACACGAGGTATGTATAAAAGTGGCGCACACTCATGATATAAGACCAGAAGTACATAACCAGAAGTGTCCATCTCCCCAATAATATCGACACCATCAGATGTCCCGATAATCTCTTTTTAGACAACCAATCACAACGCGCGCACATATTACACGGCACCTGATTGGTCCTTGTTGATCTAAATTTACAGCTTTTCCATCTCACGTTAAAAGTCGAAAATTACTTTACCTTTGTTTAAGTCCAGCTTTATTTGACTGTAAGGAAGCTATTTTACACTACTTTTCTTAGCACGCTGTTTTACATTTTTCTTCGTCTTTGTCTGAACTTTTCCCTTGTTTTCACAGACCATATTGCTGTTGAACTTCCTTCGCTACATTGCTCATATAGTAAAGTATGTTTTCTATCGAATTCAAAAATGGTTGTTCAGCAAAAGGTGTAAAATTCTCTTAAATGCGAACTTCAATTAGATCAACAAGTAGATCAACAAGGACCAATCAGGTGCCGTGTAATATGTGCGCGCCTTGTGATTGGTTGTCTAAAAATAGATTATYGGGACATCTGATGGTGTCGATATTATTGGGGAGATGGACACTTSTGGTTATGTACTTCTGATAAGACKTGATGGTTTTTGGGTTGTAAACCTTTTCTGCATGTCCAGTTATAAAATCCTCTCTGATCCTTTTGAAGTCCAGTAGAGTGTGGACATCTTTTAGGGGGCTGATAATGCTGATGACTTTTTCAAGTTGCTTCATATGTTGTTGTGCTGTTTTATCATCGTTCTTACCACCGCCAGGAGATTGTAGCCATTGCTTAAAGTGCTTGAGGATATTTTCTGATAAATGCTCAGGGACCACTTCTTGTTCCTGAAAATTGTCTGGGGCACTGACAGTTGATTCTATATCAGTATCTTTCGCCTCGAATCTTTCATCATTTGATGGTATTTCTTTCCCTTTTCTTTCTCTTTTCATTTGAACAAAAATGTGTTCCCTGGTTCTTGCTTTCATTGCTGTTTTGAGCGCTCTTTTATAGGACTCGCTTGATTTCTTCATTTTATGTACCCTAATAAGGTGATCTGACATCCGTTTAGTAACTGACGAGCATCCTTGTAAAGGACAGACTTTTCTACGGCGATAATCTTTTTTCACTTTGACTTTGCTTGATGGTGTTTTTCTCAAGTTAAAGAAGCCTACCGCCGTTTTTGCTCTCGTATTGTCCCATTTATGGACAGATCTAAGGTGTCTTGGAAAGTGAGTTACCACTGCATTACATGAAGGTACAATGGACATTCTTTTTTCAGACGTTTGACTTTTTTTGATTTCTTTTTGCGCTATTCTCATTTTGATTGGTGATCTTATCTTGATTGACGACACGATTGGTGCTTTTTCCATCCTTTATAGCTTCATTGGGAGCATCGGAGTCACTTTCAACATTATCATGTACATTCTCTTCTTCTTCTTCCTCCATATCCTCCTCACTTGAATCTTCTTTCTCTCTTTTCGCGTTTTCCTCTTYTTGCACTCTCCTGGCCTCAAGTTGGAATTCTTTTTTATTCAGCTATTAAATCCTTGATGCGTCTCACAATCTTTGAAGAAAATCCAAAATTACTACTCAAGAAATATAAAGTTTTGGTTGATTTACGATGGGAATTCGATGTTTCACTAGCAGCCCATATATTCTGGACATTGTACAATTAGGTCTTATTAACCAAGCACGCGGTTATAAAGAAAGAAAGAAAGAATATTACAGACCGAGCRTAGCTTAGCAGTTATGGCAATAAATGGCAACCAGACACACACACAAGCACACCCGGGAATACTCTAACTCCTACTTTTCTGCTTTAAAAGCTACCAAGGAAAAAAATACGTATTTACTTGCTTCAATACTCCAGTTTCGAGATCTTAGTTATTTGTGCACCTTTAACCTCGAAAGCATGTAATGGGTTTCCTTTGGCTCACCAGCAGCATCAATCTACATGTAGGAATAATAATTACAAGAGTAAACTTTGGACATCCACATAATTGAACATTTGCATGCAGATGTAACGTGGCTCTCTGCATAAATTGTGTACACAATTTTGTGTGTGAATAATTTAAAGATTTTTTAACTTTAAAAAATGTAATTATGAATGATACATTGGGATCACAATTGAAATACTTCCAATTAAAATACACATATTAACGTGGTTACCTTCTCAGTAGCATCAACAATATTCCAGTCAACTACATCTTTGGTGATTTCAGCAAGAGCAGTATCAATTTCAGTGGCTGGAGTGGTAAGGTATTTAAAAAGTACTGGACTAAGGTGTGGAAACCCTGGACCACCATTTAGTATGCTTGATGTTATCATTCTTCCAACAACTTTAAACAAGCCTTCACGGATGACATCTATTGGCAGGAGAAAGTTGTTGSGTCCCTCGAAGAGTCTAACTGGGGATAATGGGGATAGCAGAACATGTAGCAGGAGTGTAAAGTATTCTCTTTTTGACACACCACTATCAACTGCTGGCTCTCCTTCAAAAGTTACTCTAATAGGGCTTTGGAAATCAAAGATGCGTTTCTTAAAGAAACCAATGCTGTCACTCAGGATCTCACTTCTGCTGATAGTGATCCTTTGTGGTACATTCGATGGTCCTGGTTTTATGCTTTGTAGAAGTTCTTCTAGACTACTATCTTTAGATGTGGTTTTCATGGCTGTCTTATCTGCAAAAGTTGTATTAAAATATATGAGCTATGCACTATTAGTATTACTATACTAGTGGAATATTGCAAATCCTTTGTTCTGATTGGCTACGCTACTCGGGTTCTATTTTCAATAGTCCTCGACTAGCGAAAAGGGACAACTTTTTGCGTATTTTTAGCAATAAAAACATTTAGTTACTTATGTATTTCATTCATTTTTTGTCCGCAACTAGTATGGTAAGTAGTACTAAACAATTAGATCTCTCGGCCTCGTAGACTAAGAGCTGATAGCCCATTCGGCCTTTGGCCTCATGGGCTATCAGCTTGTAGTCCACTCGCCCTCGAGATCTAATTGTTAAATGTATTGTATCAATTACAATTGTTTTGCAATAAAATTTATAGGGACTAATTTAATTGTTGATATTTATGTATTCTCATATGTTCTGATCTATTCTCGACTATTAATTTCAAAATAAAGATTTAAAAACTAAAAGAAAAATAGTCATTTTAATTAGGTTGTYGATTTAACCTCAGAAAGTTTTATCATGGACATTTGATGAAAAAAACCTTTGGCTTGATACAATTCAATTTGAGCATACTTCAGTGAGCTAATCAAAATGTCGTTTTTAGTTTTTATTGTCATTATTTATTTTAACTTGGGTCAACAGTTGTGAAAACAGGACAGAGCATCATATTCAGCATGTTCCTAATGCATTCTTGAAATTAAAGTTTAAATTTACTTTAAAGAAATTAAAGTTACGTATACTCTCAATTTAATTAATATAATGTATGCTGCAGCAATGCAAAAGAAATGTTTATAGTAAAATCTCTGATCTCAGAAAATAATTATAGTAYTTATTTAACCAAAACTACACTGACAGTCATTTTATGGTAGAGTTTCAGTGAACTGCAGAGGAAGTTAGAAAAAACACAAATTATTAACCCTTTCTCTCCTCAGACAAAAATTGGKAATTTTTGAAGCTGAAGGATATCGAAATAATATGCCCCATTGGACAACCCTGCTGTTTTGTACTATGAATGGCTTTGTTCGATAGTTGACTTTTCTTTGGCACGAAGTTATAGAACAAGAAATGTGTCTTTAGCTGTTTTTTAAAAAYTTTTGGTCTTTAGTACAAGCTCTATAGACATCACTAAGCTTACATGTAGCAGTGGAGCTTACTTGCTAAAAGAATTCACCTTGGTGGTGTACCTTTTTAAGCAATTTGGTTTCCATGGTCTATTTGGTGAACTTTTGCTTTAAGAGAATGATCACTTTTATTAAAAGACTGTCTTAAAGGCAAATCCTTGGATCTGCCACAGAACTTTTTGAAATTATTTGGCTGTTGAGGAACATAACCACCTTGAAAGTTTGACTGACAGAAATTTGGTCAAAACAATGTTTCACTTGATTTATTAAATCACCATAAGCATTTTGCAGTGAAATAAATTTCAACAAGAAAGTGCAATTTTAACTGTCAGAGATTACAGTTTTACATTTTGTGTCATACAAGTGAAGCTTTTCTTAAATAAAAGTTGACTTTGGCTTCAAAAGTAAAATTCACCTAATTGGATGCAATGCATTTTGATAGAAGAATCGTATTTTGAATTCCTATTTCTACAAACCTGTATCTTTAAGGTTCTCATTCTCTACTTTGACTCATTTCGGACAACAAAAGTCGTCATCTTCACAGTATGCCTGTACCATACCAGTCTCAGACATGTGCACTCCTGCTGAGAGCAGTTCATCTGACTCAAAGCCACATTGGCAAGTGACAGTAAACGTCTGCCCCCTCCCATATTTAGCTTGCATTTCTTGAACAACTTAATAGATAAAAAAGACATTAAGATATTCAGTAAATGTAAAGAATATTAATAAGTTATTACAAGTAATATTGTTTTCTTTCTAGTTTCATTTTCTTAGGGGTTTTTTCCTATTTTACTGAATTTGCTAAATGCACATCATCTATGTTGTATCTTTTCAAGTAGCCATGCAGTTGTTAATTGCCTACATTGTATGGTGCRTAGTCAGAGATATACAACCTTATATGCATTTATCTAATATATACTGATTCCATTTTTTCGTGCATCTCTGTACTTAATAGATACACATTRTGATGCCAAAATTTGACAAGAACAAAAAAGTACACCACAAGACTATGAATAACAATAATTATTTGTCTTCAGTCTCTTCTCATCATTCTTTTGATCTCTAATCTCCTTGTTTGCAGTTCACTTAAAGTTCTGCATAATATTAMGAGTGAGTGCTTTTTGTGTTGGATCAAAAGTTAAAAGTCATAGAAGCCAAAAGCTATGGAGCATTTGATTAGTTGACATGATTTGGTCCAATATTTTTCATAAGCTGAACAGGGGAATCACAAAAACTTTATTTTTTTAATTTTTCTAAAATGGTCTAGTTGATAACATAGTATATATTTTAAATCAGATTTTCTAATCTCATAAACTGTTTTAAAACAGATTTGCAGTGCCTGCAAACTTAATAGTCATAATTACCTGCAGTTGAAKAAGGAGATCTTTCAAGTAGTTCTGATATAGTTACATCAATGTTGAGGAAGCTGTTTTGAACTCGTTATATGAGTCATTCGGAAACATTTCTTTGAGTTTTTCTAGCTTATCTGCAAACTATAATTATCAACAGCATGAAAATTATTAATTTGCTTCATTATAGAAAAAAACATTTATTAAGTGCAATGCAGCAGCCACTAAACTTAGGATTTTTCACCTAAAAAGACATTTCTGATGATGTACTTTGCATGTGGACCACTTTGAGGGCCACAAGTATTAGTGGTTTCCACTATTTAGTGCTACCCTCTAAATAAATAATTCAAAACCTCATACATAATTAATAAGCTATTAGGCCAATAGAATGAGCCTATTTGGTCACATGCATGGACCTTTATATCTGATAAAACACTACTCATTAGTATTCTTTATGTAAAGAATAAGGGTGACCTTTATCAGATATAAAGGTCCATGACCCTAGCAAAGGTCTCAGCTTTGAAACCTGATCATTGACCAATGCTGGATGTCAGTGAATAGCCAAGAGCGGTTCTATTTTACTTTATGCGCATTCAATGTGGGATGACAAGAGTGCTTTGTAAAGTGATTCGCGCATGATCAGTTTGCCCCATTTATCCCCAAACTTATTTTTACAGCAATTTCTCCAAGAATTTTAATGGATTTGAGTTTCARATTAGTGTTGAAGTTTTTGAAGCCGTTTAAACACGAGAGAGTGTTTTTATCAGGTATAAAGATTCTCGCCTTTGGCTCGAATCTTTATACCTGATAAAACACTCTCCCTCGTGTTTTAAACTATACATAAAGTTAATAGTTTTCCGATTTAGCTGCTTTTGAAAAACTATTGCCAAACACTTCTATTGTTCCCTTGTTCGCCAAAAATTAATTAAAATTCTGCATTGTGTTGTRTTAATGGGTTCTAGCAACTTCCGTAATTATTTTATATCACACAATTCCACAGAGCCCGAGAGGTAAATAAAACGTAGCTATAACTAGGCGCGGWACTGGTTCAATTTGTTTGTCAATAGTGGAACCRTTATTAGGYATTTTCACTGTTGTTCAGTATTTTTAGCCAAACAAACAACCTCGAACTTTATTTTGCATAAATWAAGTTATCAGTTATTTATGTATAGTTTAAACCACGAGAGAGAGGCGAGAATCTTTATACCTGATAAAACACGATCTCGAGTGTTTTAAACGGCTTAAAAAACTCCAACACTAATTTGAAACTCAAATCCGTTAAAATTCTTGGAGAAATTGCCGTACAAAAATGTCCAGAGATAAATGGGACAAACTGATCATGCGCGAATCACTTTACAAAGCACTCTTGTCATCCCACATTGAATACGCAAAAAGTAAAATAGAACCGCTCTTGGCTGGTCACTTAAATCGGTTGACATCCTGCATTGGTCAATGATCAGGTTTCAAACCTGAGACCTTTGCTAGGCTCATGGACCTTTATATCTGATAAAGGTCACCCTTATTAGTATTCTTTATATAAAGAATACTAATAAGGAGTGTTTTATCAGATATAAAGGTCCATGCATGTGACCAAATAGGCTCATTCTATTGGCCTAGTAGCTCATTAATTATGTATGAGTTTTTTAATATTTGTTATTCACAAATAAGTTATAAAACTCTATAGAGTTATCATCACTAGTCAAACGAAACCCACGCCCATGGTCCCGGAGCAGGGTGTGGGATAAGTGGGAGATCGAACTAAAATCATGACCATAGGGGTGGGGGTTTCAATTGACTAGTGCATTATTTAATATTAGATCTTACAAAAATATGTTTTTTTTTTCATTTTTCTTCTTGATTTTCTTTTTCTGATCAAAGACATGTTACTGTGTGAGACGTAGATAAATGGTCAATTTCCTCTTAGTCTTCGTATGAAMAATCTTCTCCTGTTTACCAAAGACCCACACGTACCCACGACAAACGGTAGAAATGACCGTTTTTGTCGAAAAACTTGAGAAATGGAATTAAAGACTTTGAAGTCCCCAAATCTATGCTCAATTTAAACCCTGAGTTTCCATAGCTGTCGATTGGCTCTTCTTTGGATACGATTTCGAGCAATCCTGTGTGGTCTTATGAGTGGCACTCTTGCGGCGTAACCACCGTCAGCCAATAACCGCGCATTCCTTGGTAGGCGTTTCTGACCATGAAACCCGATACTGGGCAGATAATTGTA